CTTCAAATCTGATTTGTTCTTTCCTCGTATAGCAGGTGAGCTCCTTCTCATCGTATCGTTTGATGTCCGGACGTAGAGGTTTCTTTTCTACTACCTTCCATTTGTCCCTGACTGAGTAGATCGCTTCGTTTAATATGATTTCACAAGTCTCTTCATCAAAGGACACTTTTGCACCTCCTTCTCTTGCCTTGGCGGATGCAGCGATCCCTTCATCTTCGGATTCGTCCATGAAGAGTTCACCGTCAATGGCTGGAGCTCCAGGCTTCGCCTTGGGCTTCGGTTTGGGCTTTGCCTTGGGCCTTGGCCTATCATCTCCTGAGTCAGCTGGTGCAGATATCCCTTTCTTAGGAGAGGCTTTTGGGTCATGGTAGAACTTGCAATCCTTCCCTTTGTCACAAGTTCCTCGAATCCACATCCAACATACTGGCTTGTCATTCTTTCCGACAGAAGGTCCTCTGGATGGTGATCTGGGTTTCTTGTGACTGAATGGGCAATCTTTCCCCATAGTGCAGTTACCTTTCACGAAGAATTTGCATGGTATCTTCTTCTTATCTGCACTCGGACTTCGGCTGCGATCCTTTCCATCCCCTTTACCTTTCCCCTTTCCCTTTTTGTTCTTGTCTTCAGGATGCTTCTTGGGATTGGGTTTCGGCTTCACTGCAGCAGCGTCTTCTGAGACAACCTGTTCTTGTTGCCCTTTTGGTTTCTTCTTCGGATCAGCTGGTGCAGCTTTCAGTTTTGGAGCAGGTCCGCCTGGTTTAAGATTCTGAAAGATATTAGCCACATTCTTCACTGCCTTCTCCTTTTCCAGGATCATCCTGTCTTCAGTTTGCCGTTCGATGTGCCTTCTGATCATATCACGTAGATGTTGGTATGTCTTCTTGGCATCATCGTCGTTCATGCTATTGTAGGCGCTGATGTCGTATGCCATGAGGTTTGAGTTCCTGATCTTTCTCCATAGGAGATCCCGAAGAGTTTCGTCGCTCGGGACGTCAACGGGCTTCATCCCTGCCAGAATCTCATCCCAAGTGTGGAAGAACAACGATAAGTTCTTGTCTCCTTGATATTCTAGTTGGTAAAGGTGCATTGAAGTATATAAGACTTCCACATTTGATGTTGTCTTGAAATTCATAAGGATCAGGGCTAGGACCTCTCTTCCCTTTATGAGGCTTGATGTTCTCCCTTTTGCATTGATCCTCGTCCTCAACTTCATAGCTACACCTGAACCATCATCTTTCGCATCCATGACGACCTTGGTAAGAGCTAGGCCGAGCTTAGCATCGATTGAATGGAATCTTTGGTCTCCTGAGTCGACAAACTTGTCCGGATCAGGGTCGTCCATGGCTTCTTTGATCCAGTCGATCCAGGGCTCTTGATCTGAATCATTGGCCGCAATGATGATCGATTGAATGAGATTTGCCTTCCATAGTCCAAGATCATTGATCCTGGGCCACGACGGAACGTTTATCTTTGATTCTTCCTTCCTCGATACTTTCATGATTGTAGAGGTTGCCGGTGCAAGATGAGATGAAGAGGATGCTTCTGCTTCTGAAATCTTGTCCCTCAATGATTTGTTCGCCTCGGATAGCTCAATTGATTTCTCCCTTTCCTCGGCGTACTCATTGTGGGTTTCGGCATACCATTCATACATCTCATCTCGGCTCTCTGTCATTTCATTGTACCCGTCCTTGTAGTGCTTCGCCTCCTCTTTTGCGTTCCGAATCTCATCTTCCTCGGACGCGTGGGTTGGTAACCCGCGGTCTCTGGAACTAGGACGCTTGCTGTACCGAGAGACTATGGGTGCCATTCGTGCTTCTGCTTTTAATTTCGCATTTTCCATAATGACATTCTTTGTCTCCTTCTGGCTTTCCAATAGTGCATTCTCCAGTTCTCTGATCTTCTGTTGAATTTCAGCACCATCATCGCCGAACATAGGAGCTCTCATCATATTCTCTCTTTTCAGCTGTGCGTTGGCTTCGGATAGAGCGAGGTTGGCGTCTTTCAATTGTTGTCGTTCACGGATGGAACCTTCTAGGACTTCGTTGTTGAATATTTCTCCTTTTGCGATAACCTCCTTTGCGACGTTTGCTTCGTATTCATGGTGGCTCGCCTTCATTTCTGCCATTTCTTTAGCAGAGACTTCAGTCTGGCATACAAATATCTCCATCCTCATGCCCACTTCCATCTCTTCTATCTCCGCTCTCGCGTTGAGTTCAGCTCCACGTGCCATAGCTAGTTGACCTCGTAGATGATCAATAACCATAGCTTCCTGATTGCTCCGATCTTGAGATGAGTGAACACTGTGTTGAAGACGTCTTTCCCTGACCTCACTGTTCCATTGTTCTTCTCTCTGGTGTTGGATCACCTCGTGCATGTTGACATTCTCATCCTGTAGCGCAATCATTCTAGCTTGTATCTGGTCAGCTATTCCGACGAAGGCTGTGTTCTCATCCTGAATGGCTTTTGATCTTCTATTGATCGCCAATGAAGATTCATTCTGTTCTTGGATGTGTCCAATTGCTGCTTGAAGCTCTTGGGACATTCTGTCCTTCGTTGCTTTCACAGATTCAAGCTCTGAATGTTCTTGATGAGTTTCTTGTGCAAGCTCTTGATATCTCATGTAGATATGTTCAGCTGTCGATTCCGCCAAGCGTAGCTTGTGTTCGAGCTCTTCAATTCTTATTGTCGCTCCTTCATCTTCCTGTGTCATCTCTTGTAGATGTTCCTGCATCTTCCTGTTGTAGTCAGACATTTGCCTGAACTCCACTTCAGCCTCGTGGTGTAGTCGTGAGTATCCGGCTTGGATGCATTCATATTCTTCATGAAGAAAATTGTATGCGTTTCTCGCCGATCTCAATTCTTCACCCAGCTGAATCTCTCTTCTTTGCTCTTTTGTTCCTCTATCATCGTCACGTCTCTTCTCTATACTCCTTCTTGGGGATCTCGCGGTAGACGTTATAGGCGATGTAGATCTTGTTGTAGCTCTCATCGATCTTCTTGGTCCTACGGGTGCAAGATCGGTCAGATTCCGAGCCGGTGGCACGGATCTTTCCGAGATTTGTGATCCAGTAGGCATAGTGATAACGTCAGCATTTGCTGATGAATCAGTACCCATTGTAGAGTCTGGTGACGAAATGGTGTTGGGACCACCAGGAGCAGCGAATGAATAGGGTTCGCTTCCATTTCCTCCTGAGCTTGACATTGCAGGTTTCTGTAATGACTAGTCTTGTTCTTGGTCTCGTGTAGCTCGTACGGCTATAAAGAGCGCGTACGGCTGATAACCTGCGAGTGGATCTTAATCAGCGAAGTTTGAAGCTATCACTGACGGTCCATAAGCGGCGTAGCGTCGGAACGGAAACCGCACCTTTTCTAGTCGCTTGATCCTTGAGCCAAAGTACATATGGTACATACATATATGTACATGTTGCACTGTACATGTCGCTGCACTTCCATTTGCACATTGCGTATTTGATGGTGCGTTGACCGCTCTGATACACTTTGCAACATCGAAAACAAGAAAAAACATACGTGACAAGTTTTTTTTAAAGAAACAAGGCTGTTGAACTTATGATCGATTACACGGACTTAATGACCTTACATGACTTAGGCCTAAGTGGACTTACATGGGCTTATAGATAAGTTGTTATAAGTCAAGTTATAAGTAGGCGGCCCCCTAAGTCCCAAAGAGTTTTATTACGAGCAGGGGACCAGGCAGGATGCATCGTCGCCTGGTCAACGAAGCTGGCGATGCATCCGAGGATATGGAAATGGGACGCCATTTCCACGTACCTGCTAAAAACTGTTGTTTACGCTGTGACTCCACTTTCCTTTTTTGTTTCCATGGTGGTTCTTCGCATGATATCCCCCAAAACAGGTTTCCTTCGCTTTGGTAAAGTGCTAGTGAATTTGATAAACAGTTATGTTTTTCGGACCCTTTCGCCTTACCGTTTTTGCACTTCTTTCCGTTCCCTCAAGTCAAGGGCTAAGTGTTCAGTAACTAGAGTGCCAGGTAGTCAGTAACTAGAAGGTTTTGTAACTAGTGGGCCTCGTAACTACACCTATCTTTCCCTCTTGTCCAAAGCGTTTCTCTTTCTGTCTTTTCCGTTCCTTTCTTTCTAAGGCTGTTTAGGTTGCTCGTAATCTCTTTCGGGCGCCGATATCGGCACGCTGTGTGTGTGTCATACTCTGTCCCAAAGAGTTTTATTACGAGCAGGGGACCAGGCAGGATGCATCGTCGGCTGGTCAACGAAACTGGGGATTCATCCGAGGATATGGAAATGGGACGCCATTTCCATGTACCTGCTAAAAACTGTTGTTTACGCTGTGACTCCACTTTTCCTTTTTTGTTTCCATGGTGGTTCTTCGCATGATATCCCCCAAAACAAGTTTCCTTCGCTTTGGTAAAGTTCTAGTGAATTTGCTAAACAGTTACAGTATGTTTTTCGGACCCTTTCGCCTTACCGTTTTTGCAGTAAAGTGCTAATGCAGTAACTAGCTTCCGCAGTCACGCAAAACCTTTGTTAAACATCTTCAACTTTTTCGGACTCACTCGCCTTTCCGTTCCCTCATTCCTTTCCTCGGGGAATTGATGTACCTGAAAACCCATTGTCAAAGTGTGTGCCGCTGTGTGTCTCAAGAGTGCAGAGTGCTTCGGATCCCAGGTGAGAGTGCTTCGGATCCAGTGAAGTTCTCACCATCCTCTTTCAGATATGGGTTTGTATTAGAACAGGGAACCCCCCAAAGACCCCCTGCAAGAGGAAAATTGACCAAAACTCAGTTGGTTGTGGGGTCCACTAAAATACAAACCCACACACAGCCGCACTTTGAGAGGATTCTTGTCGCAGGGACCAGTCAGTGCATGGATGCCTCTCTGAAAGCATCTCTTCGTTGGTACCAAAGATCATGTGGTTGGAGGCCATCGCTTTGAGGTTGGAGGCCATCGCTTCTAGGCACACATCGTCCGTCGATCGCTTCGCTTCATTCGTTTCACACCGAGGCACGGCCACGGACATCACCGGAGGTGAACGAAAGGGACCCGGAAGCTTCATGCAGTACCTGGGAAGCCGACGAAAGCTGACGTGAGGAGACGGAGAGTCGCGAGACGGTCCGGTCTGAGCGAGGGTCCGGTCTCGTGATCCTCCTAGTAGCGTCCTTGCTCCTAGTAGCGATGCCCTTTGTTCCTAGTAGCTTCTTGTTACTTGTAGTATGGCCAGGAGCCCCTAGTAGCGTCCTTGCTCTGGGTGATGTGGGCTCCCTGGGAAGGAAACAACACATGTCGATGACAAAACAGAGAGATTATTTATATGGGAGGAAAAAATGGACAAGTAGAAACACATTATAGACCCTGGCACTGCAAATCAAAGTACAATTCTATTGTCTGTTGTTCTGTGCAAAGCAGAATCATCAGAATCGTACTGTAAGCTTCTCAATCTTTTCGTACTGTCTCCTCATGAACATTCCCATACTAGTATCTAGTGGAGTCCAACAAAGGATTTGTACTCCTGTAAGAAAAACACACCGACTTGACATCCAATGCCCATCCTGTCTCACCATGAACCCAGCTGATTATATAAGTTCAAGACTTCCATCAAACACTCCATCAAACCTGATTTTACTATCACCCACCATCACCTACCCTCCGGTCACCCACGCCCAAAGAGCCTTTTACGTGTGGGTGGGCGCACCCGCCGAGCGCATCGACCTGGAGGCCCCCCTTCGACTCGGGCAGCCGTAGAACCGCCTCCTCCACGGACGCCTTGGGACCAGCCGTCGCCGACGAGCCGCTGCTGGAGCGAGTGGTGAAAGGCGTACCGGAAGCGGCGAAGAACAGACGTGCCATGCTGATAATAATAGTATATTGATGTATATTTTGTGGGATGCCTGAGCACCGAAAAAGAAGCACCTGAGCATCAAATCCATCAGGATCCCAGGGCACCCACAACCTGAAGAGATTCATGTGGATATCACAGTGCATTCATGCGCTTCTTTGACGGTGACCACGTTCACGATGCATGTTCCATATCTTCAACGGTGTGCATTGGTTCCTGATATTCCTTTGCACAACCGGTTTGAACCCCCAAAGTGCGGGAGTCAATTGTAGGAGGAAGGTCGCTAGGCGCAAAGTGACCTGGGGAAGAGCACAAGCTGTCACAAGCTCAGAGTAAGTCATCAAATCACCTACTCGGGTTTCCAAAGGAACAGGGACCGCCTGGTGGATCGGATCCTCGCACTGACCACCCTCTCGCTCTGGCAGGTGATCCCCACGGGGCTGGCCAAGCCCATCAGCGCCGCCCAAAGGACCTGAGGCCGCTGATCTGGTGCGGGACCTCGCTAGTGCTCTGGTGGCGGTGTTCTGATTTGTCAATGGAAACTTTATTCTAGCACTAGGGATTGGGATTGGTTTGGACACAGTTGGACAACATATCCTAGACATGGGCAAAAGGCCAGTACTTCGAAGTCTGGACCGCTGGATCGATCCACATCGGTACATGTCCGGACTTGGTGGATTCGGAGCTCGTTTCACTCACCCATGGTTCAGTTGACCTCCCAGGGAGTCTCAAGGTTTTTAGGTGGCTTGGTAGAGGAAAGTAGTCTTCCAAGGTTGTCCACTTAGATGTTAGGGAGTCAGAGGGTAATACATTTATAATGTATATATATATATGTCAATGCGAGCAAAGGACTACAAAGAAAGTGCGGCGGCAGTCAGCAAGATCAGCAAACGCTGCCGGCTCTTTTCAACAGCCAAAATGGCTAGAGAGCATGCAGGTGTAAAAGACACGAGAAAAATATATGTCAATGTCTAGTGTTCTATGTATAATGCATATATATATATTATATTATAGATTATTAATTGCTTGTTGGTTTCATTCTTTCTCAATGGTCACAGCCATGCACCGCCAAACGCACCGCCAGACGCGCCGCAAAATGCACCCGGGCCGGTCGAAGCGGACTCCTCCGGGCCGGAATGACAGGTCCGGTCTGCCCCAACAGGTCCAGTCTGACCCAGTAACACCATGGTCCTTTGCCTCATTGAGTCGTGTTTTGTATGATCCACAAACACGCGGTTTAGCAATGGTGCTGCGAAGACGCCTGGCAGTGAATATGGAAGATTGGGCGGCTACTGTAGGTCAAAATCCACATTGCTGGGTTCGACAGGATTCAGCACGATACGTATTTCAGCGCGCCTGAGATTCTTAACGGAACGCTTTACTGCACCACCACCCCAAACAACAACAATGATGTACCAGGACATACCAAGACCATCTAATCCGTGTGTCCCATGGACTACCCTGCAACAACTGCACACCCAGGTGCCGTTCAATTTTTACACCCCGGCGATGCCAAAAACGACCCTAGAGGTCAAAAGACCGAAGGTCGGAAGGTGCGGAGGGTGGTCTGGAAGGTCTTCGCAAGGGGGATCCCGGAAGGACATCGGCATGCTGAAGCTGGTATACGGAAGATGTGAAACAGAATGATCCCGTTCTGTGTCCCTATTTTAGTTGATGGAAGATGATGAAAGAAACACAAGAAAGAAGGACTTGGAACCACCAAGAGAAATGAAACCCTCGTGGGTTGTCCTCGTCTCTGGTGTCCCGCCACGCACATTGGACTGCCAGTGCCCTACCACTGGACACGGGACCAGTGCCCGTGCCATCTCCTGGGCATTGCCACCGGCAGCAGCGCCTCCAAATGACGGACGGAGAGTAGGCAAAGGGTAGATAAACATGGAAGCTCTCTTGATTAGTTGATTATCATGGTGGATGCCATTGGCTGTAATCTATCATCAACACTAGAGTGGGACGTTTGATCTTCAGGCCAATACTAAATTCCTGATTCAACATTAGTGGATCCTACAATCTCCGACCATTCCCTGATACATCTTCCTGGCTAAACTGTGATGCTTGGAGCTATTTACTCAACACTGAGTTTACTCGTAGATCAGGTTTCAATTGAGTGAACTTGAGCCAGTGAGTGAACTCAAAACACATTTGGGTCATTTGGGTTCCTACTTCTTGAAATGTCTGGCTGTTGGACAACCCACTCGCACATGGCCACCCGACAACCCCACCTGGCCACCCATGTTTCGGAGGCAGCGAACGGCGGAGGCAGCTTGACAATGGGCTGGACACACGCTGATCAAGTGCGGTGCTTTTTGTTTTTCCCGGACATGTGTCCTTGCATGTCTGGGTATGGGTCGATGTATCCTTGGAACTGCTTGAACCTCCCGCTCTCAAACAACCAACAACAATAATCTGGATGTGATCCTGTGTTCTTCTCAAGTTTTGCCAAGCAAATCCCGATGTGGTGCAAAGATTTTTCGGCCACTAGAACGGCGATACGAACCCGTATCAACTTCACAGCATGACAGCATGGGTTATCCCACGGAGAGACGTGGATCTCATGTCGTGTCAGTCCCAGATTCAAATGGCCTCGCTCTTTGTCATGGCCGGCTGAGATGGGAGGTCGCGGACGGCATGGAACCGATAGACAGGCAAGTGGAACATATGTTGATTTCCAGGCACATACTTATATAAAAAAATATCAGTAATAGTATAATACTTAGCATAATAATAGTAAGTTATGTAGCATGATAGTATATGTTGATGATCCCACAATTCACATGCTGTTTTAATCACACCTACCGCTACTGTGGTCTGGGGCCTCCCTGCTTGTCCCATGGACGGCTTCAGATCCTTTCCGAGTCCCGTTCCGACCCGGGTTTCACTCATTTGACAAAATTCGACGAATTGGATCGAATCAAAAGCTGGGCCATTTCCTCTCCAAACAAAACCCCTTGGGTTTGCCAATAGAAGAAACGGCCATCTTCACGAGCCTAGGCCCACACCTCTTCATTGAGAACAGCCATCGACAGGACCATCGGGACCATGCAGTGGATCAAGAGTCAGAGTCTCCAAGGACCGGAGACGCCAAGCTCAAAGCTTCCAAGCACCTTTTTTTGTTCGGACCAAGATGGGCCAATGTTTGGCTCCAGTCTTAAGCCTCTTTAATGCAGCAACTGGGCTTCTGGGGAAGCACGTGTGTCTGCAAACCCTCCAGTCTTAACATAGACAAAGATTAATCATAGTTCTTCAAGAACTGCCTCCTTTTTGAGACATTTTGAGACCACCCAAGCTGTTTTTGGATGCTCAATGTCGGCAAGGTCCATCATGGTACCTGGCACAACCGCGCCCAAACACAGAGCGGTCTAACGGGTCCATGTCGGCACATCCTGTCAGACCACGTCAGTGGTGGTCCCGCTGGTCCGGTAGGGAGTTCATATGCCAGGATGTTGGTTGTGAGTGACCCACCGCAGTCGCTCCTTGATCGTCCTTGCCTCCTCATCCACCATCTCTACATCCACTTGCTGCACTGCTCCCCCCATGACCTCAGGTGCGCGTCCCTGGCAACGACGGACGCCTAGGCCGGCCCCGTGCACTCTTTTAGATATGTTTCTGTTTCAGCGACCGGGCCTCTTGGGAAGAAGAACACATGCTTGCAAACTGTCCAGCTGGCCCAGTTTTACTTTTTCCTTCTAGGGATCTTTGAGGGGTTCCTATTCTGTGTACGCCCAGATCAACTCACACCTATGCCGAGGTTCCATCTCTTTGTGGCTCCTATGTTGTCGGCTGAACTTCTTGTCCGCCCCGCTGGCTTAGTTCCTGGAGTCTAAACAGCCCCGGAACCTGGAGCTCAAAAGCTGGTGATCTCAAGGATGTATCATTGCAACATGGAAGTGGGTCTCATCCTACAATACTGGCAGTGGGTCTCATGGATGAGCAGCTGGTGATCTCAAACACTACAACAATACTCACCCTTCCACTTCCATGTGATGTGTTTGTGCCAAAACGTGTGCAGAACACAGGCGGTCACTTCCAAGGATCGTGTGGTGTTTATACTGTGCAGCCCCATAAATCGGAGAGAAATCAAGTCAACACGGTTCAACACCTCGGTTCCAACCTAATAGCAATGGCACTCCAACCTAATAGCGATGGCCTCCAACCTACTGGTGAGGGCACTGACCCTCTAGCTGCGCTTCGACCCTCTAGCTGCGCTTCAACCCCCCTCTCAGTCTGCAGCATTCAAACTGAAGATCGCCTGCCCAGCTGGGATCCATGAGAAAAGCGGAATACATGTGTTAGTTCTCTCTTGCCCGCGCCGTACTGAATTAATTAGTGGCACCTACTTAATTAAGGGCTAAACGATCTACTTACCTTAAATTTGCTTAAAGAACCGGTAAACAAATCTCTAGAAGGGATTTACCCATACGGAAAATGACAAATCACCTGCTACTACCTAGGACGCAGGATAGCTCATGCTCCTTCAAGGAAGCTCCACCCCGCTCAGGGCGGGGGGAACTTCCTTGAAGAAGCGTGAGCACTATTCATTTGGTTTCTAGATTCATTTAACCAAAATGGAAAGGACAGAAAACACAACAAACTGAAAAATCCAGGAGTGATCCATGTGATCGACTGAAGAGCTGGGCTCAACATCAAAGGTATGTTATGAAGTCAGATCAAGTCACACATAGAAGAGTACAAGCTAGTCTGCTGAACATGTCACTTAGAAGACAATGAGGATCCCTAAGGTCTCTCTTAACCACCCCAAGCTGCCAAAGTTCAGAATGCTAGCAACTTCAACTCACTCAAACAATGTCAAGGGTCGGTTTCCCTACAACAGCGAATTGATATAATATTCACGTCATGATAGAATATTCACTCATTATATAGTTGAGTGTTGCAGTATAGAAACTCTGAGCTTCATCGCTCGAACTCACTTGGTACCTTCAGAATCTTTGTCTCCACAGCATCATAGCAGACCTGGATCTTCCTTTGGGCGGAAAAAAGTGCCGGACCTCAATCCGGCAAAATTTTCCGCCGGATTCCGAAAAAAACGCCGGAGACCTGAAAAAACATCCGGATCCAAGATTCTGAAAAACAGAGATGATAAAAGGTTGGATCAGACACAAGGAAACTGCCTTTGCGCCGCGAGTAGTTTTTCTGGAGCACACTCGAACCTTCCCGTTCCCATTGCCCTCGCCCATCTTCCGAATGGCCTAAGAGCAAAGCCATCACACAATATAAGCAACTTGTGCCCAAGCAAAGACTTCCAAGAAAAAAACAAGGAGTATGTGGCAAGGAACCCCTCTTTCTCTGCAACCGTGTCTCTAAAGTGTTTTTTTACAAAGTGGGCTGCTCTCCATGATTCTTATGCTTCTTAATGTTTCATTGAAGCTTGCCTCAGGACGGCCCCCCAATAAAGTAGTAGCAGAACTCATGGTTCCTGTCAAAACTCTTCTGTGAAAAACTGTTCACAATCAAAGCCTGCAGAAGACTCAGTCCAAAAAAACGCCGGAGTTACGGGAAATTACGCCGGAGTTACGGGAAATTACGCCGGAATTACGGGAAATTACGCCGGAGTTACGACGTGCCATTTTTTGACAACTCTCTGCAAAACATTGAGATTCTGAACAACACATGTTCCACAGCCCAAAACTTGTCCGGCAGGCTCTGCAAACCTGCGCAGCTAGAACTATATCCCAGCGCCCCGACATCCTGAAACAATGGGAGTACATTTTTGCCTATGCTCTTTCAGCTTAGGTACACCCACTTGGGTCTTTCAACAGGTGCATCGCACTGTACCGGCTTCATCCGATTTCATTTAGAAGATCACCTAAACGAATCTGATTGATCCAGTGTGAACCATGCTGAAACCGGTGGAATGAGAAAACCGCGGAACAGGCAAACGAGCACACTTTGCAAACAAAGTCATTGCATCAGTAGCGGGTTTACCTTCAAAGAAATCAGACCACAAAGAATGCAAAGCCTTGAGAACCCACATAAAGTGACTTGGAAAAAGCGCCGGACCAAATCCAGAAAAACGCCGGAGTTGGAAGTCCGGCGCCGGACCCTGTAAAAGTGCCGGACTGAAGATCTAGGGATAGACTCTTGATGATCTTTCATGATATGTCAACCCCCCAATAAAGAAAGCCCTTACAATCCACGATCATCCACGTCTGGTACTTGCGGTGATGAATCACGAGTCTGACATGACCCCCAGGGATTCGTGAGAGTGATGAGGGCACCTCTTGGGTGGCACAAAGGCATTCATCACCGCCACTGCTCAGCTCCAGCACGCGCGACCTGAGGTCGAAAGGTCGAAGAGTCGTACGTCGCACGTCGGCACGGCACTTTCACGTTTGAGCGATTGTCACGGCATGCGGCAAGTGGTCTGGGAATGACTTGAAGGAATGTGGGAGTTGTATATCAGAGGTGTTGGGTTTGAAAGTTCTGATTTTTGCAGCTTTGAACACAGTTTCTCATTTCTCCAGTGTGGCATGAACAAAACTCAAGCAAGGCTTGAGGGTGGACAAGCCCTCATCAATACGACAGTAAATCAAGCAACGAGCTACAACAGTATCTGTGTTCCAAGAGCTGTAACATGAGGTCCAAAGCAAATTCCTTGATCCAGAACTGACCCCAAGCCACAAAGATATCAATCCACAGTTCACATAAAACCAAAAGTGAGTTGTACAACACAAACTTGAAAAACTGGAAGCAGCGAGATACGCATTGTATCAAAAAGCATTATCCTCCGTTGAACAGGCAAATGAACCGGAAAGGCCCTCGATCTCCCCATCGATCGATCCTGCAGACCATCCATGGAACTGCCATATTTGCATAGATTGGGGTGCAAAGTCCCAGGGGTGAATGGGGCGGTAAATATGCCAGTCCCATGGATGGTCGATAAGTCGATCGTCGATTCCCTCTCGCCTCGCCGACGGGACGCTCCGCGACGGACGAGGAGGTGTCCTACGAAGTGCAAACAACACCCCCACACATTGCTTCTGCCTACGAAACAAACAATGTCGAACCGACCTCTCTGGTTGAGTTTGCGACCCTTTCGTCTCGAAAAAGGAGCGCTACGGTCGCTACAGTCCTCGTGGAACTAACCGTTCATGCGCTGGCCGCCATGAAAGGGGAGGCATATTTGTCCGGACGGTCCCAGTTGGGCTGAACAAAATCGGACAATGCTGTGCAGCGCATCCTCCCTCCCATCTCCCAGCTGTGCTCCACATCCCTCCCACCGAGAACCCGATGGACTCACCGGTCCACCCTCGCCTCGAGAGCTCCCACACACGACGGGAATGCAGGCCGAGGACCTCGATCCGCAGATCGAGGAGTTGGACAAAGGGAAACACGAGGAGTTGGGACCTGGAACCCAAAATGCCAATGAAAGAGAAACCCTTGTAAGACGGGTTCTGTTTGTTTGATATGCTTTGATTACTGGTTTGATGGTTTTTGATATGGTTTGAGTACTGGTTTGATGATGTTTGATGGTTTTTTGATGAAGACTCCGAGATAGGGGAGTGTTCAATATTCTTTTGGGGAAAATACTATTATAAGATGCTTTTTGGCACCTTTTTGTGAACAAAAGACGGTGTGCTGCGAGCTCCAGTTCTGCGACACCTTCCATTTGCAGTTGCTGGCTTGGTTGTGATTCCGCGAAGAACATGCTTAGCAGCCGGGATGGAGCTTCCATAGCAGGGCTCTGGGCTCTCAAAACCTTTTCCTTTTGAGAGTCTGGATTCTTAGGGTATGAAGAAATCCAACCAAAAAAGGAACACATGCACAACCACCGTCGAAGCGCTGTAGAACACATTCATTGCACTCCTACACCGGAACATGGTTGCTTCTTGGAAAAGAATTGCCCAAAACTGATCTCATATCTCATATCAGCCTAGAATCCTAGAAGCCTTGCATAGTCATGATGTGAGAAGCCTTGCATATGTCCTGAGGTCCTGACCAGTTCGGAAAGCCAATGTGACCCCTCTTCACTCGTCCCGTCCCAAACATTCTCAACCAATGTTCAGCTTCTCAGATTTGTCCAATTGAGGGAACCTGGAAGAAGAATGCTGGGTCTTGCAAAGGGTGTGCTGCAGCAGTGCTGCATCGGGGAACAACCAATCAGTTCGTTATTAATGTCTTCGCTCATGCTCTTTACCAAAGATCTTCCTTGGAAATGCCCCATTTCAACAGTTACGTAGCAAACGTGCGTCTTAGAATCAGAACGCATCCACAAGGTCTAAAAGGACCACCATCCACCAAAAAGACGCTGATGGAATTTGAACACCATGCAGCGAATGCAAACCTGTTCTTCAACTGCCAACTTCAGTTGGAGGTACCCATAGTTCTCCGTGGTGGAGGATCATCGAGTGGCTGAAGCCACAGCTGAATCCTGGCATTTGTGACAAACAGGATGACTTTGGATGATTGTGGACCAGAATGGTTGCTACTGTTGATGGTCGCATTTTAGATCACTGATGCTCTTCTTCAAAGCTCAAGCGTCGAGCACCCTGAGAAATTGGCTTTATGATTCCTAGCATTAATCTCTATATCTCATGCTTCGACAGAAGATCTGTACTAGCCAATAATGCATTCAGGCGTTTTAACGAACTGAACTGTGGCTCAACAAATCACACTTCCGTTGTTCTGGTTCCTCATCCTAGCTTGTGTAACCATAGTAAGTACAGCTAGCTGAAGAACACACATACTCTTTTAAAGCTTTCGACATCTTTCGACACTTCCTCGCAACGTTGAATTCAAAAGATCTTGACCTCGCAAATACAGCTTCTGCAGGGCAGGAACAGTTCAGAATCACTGCAAATGGAAGACGGAACCCTGAAGCGGTACAAATGGCCCAATGGATCCGAATGGCCGACCCCAATGGCCCTATACGTTCTATCGAACAATATGCGACCTTCTCCCAGGTGTCTCCCAAATGTCCAAACATCCTCCCAGTGCTATGTGCAAAGTGGTACCAAAGCTTAAAACAATCTTAACGGTCTTTAGGCGGCAGACAAGAACTTCAAGTTTTGTACAGCAAGACAATGTGTGATCTAGTTCCAGTAGCAACACAACCGTGTCTGAAGTACCACACCCAGTCATTCTGCAACGCAGCAGCAGTTCAACCACTGCAAGTAGAATACAAATGGAAACACATATTCTAACTGCTTGGTGGCGACCGCTGGTTCAATGTTGGCCGGAATCTGGGGCCTAGATTTATCCTGGTTGAACCGTCAGCCATTTGCAGTACATGTAAGTACTTCATAGTGCCATACCGTAGAAAAGCATGGACTCCCATGAAGGACCTGGGCACACGAGGTCAGCACCTCATCTTCCCGCCGAACCCGCAACCAACGTTGCTCAACCCGCCCGGGGTTCCGAACGTTCGGCACGGATGGGTGCATAGCTCTCGGGCATCAGCAAAAGTTCAGGGACCTCATGCAGATTGATGTGAACATAAAGGAGACGCTGATCTGACAGAAGGAGAGATCACCTTCTCCTCCTTGCCAGCACTAGGTGATGGCCAAAAAAAAGAGAGAGAGAGAAGGCGTCCCAAATCCTCATGTGAAAAGAGCCGATGCCGGTCCTACGCTGCACTTGGGATTGCGGGGTTCCAGGAATGGACTTGAGACTTTAGGTATAGGACAATTTATCATAATTTATCTGCATTTTCCAGGTTCTGGCGTTCGGCTACTTTAATCCGTGGGAACATTCAGGACCCCAACACTTGCGACAGGGCTGCCCTTCACCCAAACCGACTGAATGTTCATCTTCCGTATTTTGCAGGGACTCTGAAAGCGAAAGTATCTTGACCAGTTGGGTAGAGGGGATGGCCGGCCCTACAAATAGGGATCTGATTAGGAGGCACTATAGCTTAGAGGAATGACAAAAGCAATTTTTCTTCACTGAACTTGGACAGCGAACAAGAAGATAAATTGAAATCATTTGAACCAAACGTTGGGCATGTTCAGATCCAACGAGAGTGCATTTGACGGGAGTTTCCAGCATCACTCATCATTCCGGGTCAAATTGCAGGGGTGAGAGCCAGAGAAGGTCGTGATAAAGCTCTGAAGGCCTACTAGATTGGCCTTTATGACTGAGTCGTCAAAGGCTCAGCCCCTAGTGGAACAAACAATATATATAGACGCTTCGATCGTGAATCGACCATTGTGAGGCTAGATGTCAGAGCGCTTCAACAAACAGTAGTGATGCTGACATTGAAGTTACACTGTTACACCAACACACCTGACAATAAAAAATGGTGAATTGAATTGAACTATTTCAGCCTTGTAAAGATGCCGAAACATACCCTACTATGGATCCACCGGACACTGCTGAGACGGTCGGACTGGACTCTCCGTTCACTCGCTTCGCATCCCCTCCTAAATCGGTGGATCCGTCAAAAAGAAAAAGGGGTATGTCATGAAAGAGTTCAGCCAGAATCTCACCAGCACTTCAATCTTGAAACAAACAGAATGGTCTACCTGCGTGTGCATCGCCCCCATCCAGCCCCGCCACCGAGGTACCGTTCGGTCAGGTCCAAGGCCCAGTTGACCCTAGCGCAAGGGGAGAGTGGACATGACCCCTTTCATCTCGTTTCTGAGGTGGTGTTTGAAGCGGATTTGGAGGGTCTAAATTAATATCTTCTGAGGAGGTACTTGGAGCCCTAGGGAGGCAGCTTACCCGCAAGGCAAACTGCTTTGGTATACCTTTTTACCTTCGACACCCAAATTCCAAAATCATCCCAAATCACCTTCTCAAAAGGGGTGCGGATCCTGAGTGGGACGATGTTGGACTAAGTGTCCTTCGAAGCTTCAGCACTTCACACATCCTTCCGTGGTAAACATGTCTTGTCCTGGCTGGGTTCTCTTGGGCTCCTGTCCCACCTTCTCAGGTGGGCTATGTCGAAGCATTCATCCAAGGTGGCCTGTCTTGGTCTCCCGTGCTTGGAGATGCGCAAGTACCATGGGACCCAATTCAAATCGCCTTGTGTCCTGCATGATCTGAACCAGTCGGACAAGGGAAATGAGACGAGAAACTCGAACGGTTCAAAGACATTTCTCTACAACAAAGATCTTGATGAGGACCAGTCTACAAGAGAAACTCGACCAGTCTACAAAAAAAAACATCTTGATGAGGATCATCTTTCACCACCCGCCGGTCCAACGAAATGACTCGAAGCGCAACTAGTGTCCAACCTGTCTCCAAGGGTGGTGGTGCAAAATGTGGTTCATGGACAGTGTACGCATGGCACGCCTGATTTCTATGTCAACTTCAACGCGGAATGCTGACAGGCTATCCCTTCTTCCTTGGTTGCTCCACGTTTGGTTTCCATGCTGTGAATCAAACCAGTTTTCACGCCAAGCGTGGTTCCGCCCTGGTTTTCAGGTTCTGCGTCTTCAGAATTTGAATGGATCCCTTAAATTCCGCAACCCGCCAACCGCTGGTGCCAGGTCATTTGGGTGGTTGGTAATGGTCTGTTACTTTTGAGAACTCTTTTGAGACGCTCCACATGAGGACACCTCTTCAAAGCTTCAGAATTCGAGTGTATCCCCCAGAGCCCAAAGAGATCCAAGCATTGTCGCACACCTGCGGCTCCACCTCGATGTGTAAAACCTCTTAAGGTCCCCTCTGAACATGAAGATCCTTTTTTCTCAAAAACAAATCCTACTGTCAGGGTTTTTGGATGGCTTTTTGGATCACCCAAGAGCAGTCTGTTTCAGGGTCGAATGAGCTCCCCGACCAAAACAGTGTACCTTCACTGAAACCAGCACCCAACAGGCTCTTCTCCGAGGTTGCCGAGCCTCGCCTTCGCATTGCCGCCACAGCCGTAGACCTCCGAGGTCTCTGACAAGATCAGCGTGTGGGTCCTAGTCAAGTGCGGAAACAAGCGCGTGGGAAGGAGACAAAGTATTATTTTTGAGCCATGAAGTCCGTTGGAGAAATGCCTTTGAATACATTTGCAACAAGTTTGAAGACAATATATAGGAGAGCGGGTGGTCCCAAGGTTTTGTTGGGTTTCCCAAGTTTGTTTGTTGTTTTTCTAAGTTTTTGTTTTGGACTGCAAATTATTCAGTGTTCTTTTTGGTTCTCATTGTATTTGTGAAAAGTTGTCTACAAATACAGAAAGCCAAAAACCCAGGCCCCATGGCCACCCCTTCTGATATATATAGACAAAGATGCACACTTATCTTCATGTTGGAAAACTGGAGAGATGCGCTGCTCAGATCTTCAGCTTTATTTGGAACAAGAAAACAAGGGTCCCTAACCTGTAACCTTGACACAGCTATGAGATATCATATCAGCGTCCCAAAAATGGACCTAATCTTGCTTAGCCAATCTCTAAGAGCGACTAGATTGATGTCCTTGTTCCCGTCCATGTTTGAGGTTCAACCCTTAGTCTGCCATAAGAATCGTCTTGCTCATGGAACGTGACCATCTCCGCCCTCCACGGTCCCGCCACAATCGACGTCCACCGCCAAGCAGGGCAAGAACATCTCGCAAGGCTTGGCCACACGATCACCTCGGCGCGCGACTCGCGTGCTCGCGGCGAGCCGCGAGAGGCGCTGCCAGGCACGTCGGGAAGACTCAAAGCGCAATCTGGGTATCATCCAGCACCCCGACGGACTGGGGGTGGTTGGACACCCCGAATCACAGCTAAGGGGCTATTAATAGACACCCCTTGGAGGGTCCTGGATTAGGATGTGTTCGTTTGCCTTTTGAAGGGGCTTAAAGGGGCCATGAACCTGGAATGCTGGAAGGGACAGAAACAAGCGCCCTGGTCGCTAGGGCTGGTCGAGACTAGGCTTGTGACTTTCTGCCACCCAAGGCCACAGCCGGCAACTGACACACCAAGATTGGACGCCACCGAAACATACCGAAACGGGGGCACAGTGTTTGATGTGCTTACTTTGGTGGCCTATCACTCAAGGGTTCCTTAGTATCCTTAGTCACACCTGGCCCTTTCCGCCCCCAACTCAGAACTTTGTTGCTGCAGGTCATCAAGATTTTACACATGTCCTTCTTCCACTCATGAAACTAGTGCGGGCCATGTCCCCCCTAGGCCTCCGCGCAATGTCCCAAACCCAGTTGCCCTTGAGAGTTCTCTCCAAACGCCCAGGCTCGACCTGGCCGAGCCAAAGGCAGAATGAAGGCAGTTTGCAAATGAACAATGGGATCGACTGTGTTCTATTCTATGTTGTTTATATTTATTTCAACCATGCTTAGTATTTTGGGGTGACTAGAATGATATAACTATATAGTTATAGCTGTTGATGGTTCGGAAACGCACCATGCCACCATGCTTTGGAAACCCTGCTTCGGAAACCTTTACAAACTGGTGTCTGACACTGCATGCGCAAGAAACTGCACGGTGTCTGAAACTACCACCTGTGTCAAATGGACACCTCCAGGGACTCAAGTAGTTTTGTCAAACATCTTGGGAACCGAAAAACGTCTTGATATGTCACAACTCAAGTCCTGCTACCCCAACTCCGGTTGAACCATGCTCCAAATATTGAAACGACCATGGACGTGACGCAGGTTGGCTCTTCTACGCCACCTTCAACCTGGCAGGTTGGCTCTACTACACCCGGGGCACCCTGCAGTTTGGCTTTTCTATGCCAGACATCTTCATATGTGCTTGCGTAATTATGCAAAAGCGGATCAACATGTCCTTCTCGATGATCTGGTTAAGACATGCTTCAACGTCCTCACGCACGTCACGATTGATCGTGTCAAACAACCATTTTGGGCTCAAACAACCTAAAGATTGCAACGAGATCCACGAGATCCGCCGAACGGAGACGAGGCGCCGAACGGTGCCGGTCCCGACCTTGCGGGTCCAAGAAGGCGGAATGATCGGCGCCACAGGCGACCTGCGCGGCACCTGAGGAGCGAACGTTGGACATTGATATGGTTTGCACCTGCGCCCTAGCCTCTTGTGCTTTCATCGTTTGAAGGAGAGCAGTATCTGCTGGGACTATATTATTCTTTTACCACCTGCCAAACGACCCTCTCGCTGCCCTGAAGCACATTCATCCTCCCCTGTCTCTCTCAGAATAGGCTGTGCTTCCTGCTCACGCCTGGATTGTTCTATGCAAGGTAACTAGAAGAGAGTTTCATTCATTCTGCTCCTCCTCAAGCCACGCTCTTCCAGCTTGGTGACCACCGTTCACCATGCCAACGGTGCTGGTGTGAACTCTTGAAACCAGTTTCTGCCACCAGAAGACGCGTCTCACCACCACGCCACAACAACAAAAGTGTAGCGTGGTGGTGGTCCACAAAAGTGCAAATCTTGAAGGAACTACTAACAATGGGTGGTCCCATGTGATCCCACCACGTTTTTTCGATCTCCAAACCAGCAGCCCTAAATCCGGCGCCCGCACGACTCCGCTTCGGCCTGCTGGAACACTGCAGAAGAAGCTCAAGACCCGTTCGTCCTCGGACGTGGATGGACGACCAAAGCAGTCAGAACTGAGCCTGCTGTCGGACCTGGATGGCTGGGTGCCTCAGAGGCACCAAGTAGGCCACGGAAGCATGCCTCGGAAGCATATCCCATGACCACCTGAGATCGGGGCTTCCGCAAGCCGCCAAGGCTGTTGAATGGGAGTTCTTCAACTTTTCTGGCCTTGATCTTTCCAAGCACCTATCTGAGGAAATGCCCCAAACATCTCGGAAACTGGGTAAGCTATAATTGTATGGCTATATAGACCATTGGAAAATGCATGTCTTCCAATCTACCCCACTTGCACCCTCAACTGAATGTCTTACTTGACTAGACCGACTGCAGCAACATAGAACAACATAGATACATGCACGAGGTTGCCATTTAAGGAAAAAGGCAAAATCATGAGAAGGGCCGCTCAAAACCAGGTAGCAATCAAAAGGACAGCAACTGCATTTGGCAAGAAAAACACTGAATAAAACTGAAACCAGACCTTTCGTTCTCGAGCCACCAGTCTATACGTCTACAAGTGTATCACTCCGGATGCTTCTGAATGTTGAGATCAAGAACATCAAAGCAAGAGACTCAATATGTAACATCTGAAACCGCAATAAGAAAAATACTCTGTCTTTCCCAAGGCATTGCGGGTGGCACATGTTGTGCCAGGGTGCCAGGTTTCAACATGGATGCGGACTCTCCCTCTCACTCTCTCTCTGTCGCCCCCTCTCTCTCTCTGTTGCGCGGTCACTGGGTCTCCCGGTCAACGTCGGCTCCAAGCTGCCCTTCAGAGCCTCATTCGGAACACCGGCGACACGACCTTCCTGGACGCGTGCAACGCAACGCAGCTGCACTGCCCGCGCTGTAAAAAGGCCGAAAGCTGCACATGCACAACTGCACAACCCGTTGTTTCCTTCCATGTGGCATCCTGCGGCCATGGTTCTCGCCAAAAGCAAACCAATCAAACCTCAGGCATCCATTCCTCACCCAGCTTCTAAAAAGAGCTTACTGAGACTTTCCGGTTTAGTGAACCACCCTGTCTTCGCCTGCTTCAACTGAACCACCCTGCCTCGCCCGGTCGCCCACAGCGCGCTCGAAGAGGTGAGCAACAGCGAATGGTCGGCGCCACAGGCCGCCTTGCCCAGGGCGGTGCGAGAGTCATATGGATGACGGGCTTCTGACATGTTCTGATATGTTTGGTTTGGATCGAATGACTGGTTTGAAACGATTCAGAGACACAAAGAAGTGTTTCTTTTAGTCAAATCCCTTGGCTGTACTAAGACACCACCCTTGCCAAACCCTTTTGGCCAACCATGTGAGTTGCAGCCCAGCCCAGCGGTGCCACTATTTTGGTCCTGTTTCTTCAAAGGGCGCTCGGTGGCAACTCCTCGGTCAACCAGATCTCCTCAAAGCTCTTCTGGACAGTGGAAACCAAACGAGAAGACCTTAAGGCTTAAGATGGCTTAAGGGGATCTGGGGTCTGAGGCACCCCCTTGGTTGACTTTCCCTCCATAAACCTCACCACTTGTAGGTAGGTCCCAGAAAAATGAACAAGTATGGCATGCGGCCATACTTAAGCCTCCGTGTTTTGATTGTTGTTGAATTGAATGGTCGATCTATACAGCAGTATTTGAAATGGCAACCTTCATCTCTAAGAAACGCTATTTCCGACGCCTCAATCACCGAAGCTTGAACAGGCCGAACAAAAGCTGGGAATGGAGTGACTCTGAACCAAACCAATCCATGTTTCAACCGAAATCAGCCTACAAAGAAGTCAACCCAGGGAGCCTGGTCTGGTGCATCAACACAAAAATCGTGACCAAAACTGCACACTAGTAGCAAGGCCAAACAACATCGTGCTTCAAGCCAGAGACCAGCGTTGCACAATGAGAAGGCTTTTGACGAGATCTGATTGACTACTATCTTCAGTAGGTTCATTGACACATCAGCAGGCTTGGCCTCCCAGACATTTTGTACAAACTTGTTCTGCATATGAACATGAGATCCCCAACCACATGTCACTGGGTGAGGACTTCACTCTAGTTCCCCCAAAATCAGGACGACTGCAACTCTATACATGTTTAGAACGATTCATAATTGAAGATCTACGTGGTGCTGTGGTGCCATTCATTGGGAGAATGAAGTCTGCTGTCACAAGATGGAAAGCAGTTTCTCCTTGCTCCATGTCTAGCTGCCTACGACATGGGTGGTGTCGTTCAATTCTTTGTGTTTTTTCTACATATGCCACCTGCAAACAACACATGTGTGGGTCGTTTATTGTCATCTAGTGTCACTTGGGCCAACAATTTTGACCAACAAGTATGTTGCTGGGCGCGGAAAGAATGCAAACCGACCTAGCATCGTGGGGTTCCTTGCCAGGTGTTGCCGTCTGAATAATGTCAGGATATTGTGGTCTGTCTGATTACAAACACACATGTTCTCGATACCCCCTAGTAGCTTACCAGTGGGCCACTGGTGCGACCGTGCATCCTCCCCATCGCGTTCCTCTGAAATTGGCTGAAATATCTGCCTCTGTCGGTATGTGAATGTCCTGTAATGGTGAAACCACTCTAAGCATGTATATCTATAAACACACAAATTCTCTATATATATATATCATATTTATGAAAATTGCATGATATTGCATTATACACATGTTTAAACATATTCAGATTCACTATTCACGACTCCAATTTTGAGATTTTGTGCATCTATCTCCACAGGTTTTGCAGCTCTCATCAAACTCTGTCATCATCTGACCAATCATCAAAGGGGCCAATCCTCAGAAGCGCCTGGCCTGAAAAAGAGCTGAAGCTGATCATAGCTCAGCTGGCAGCCCCTCGGAAGATGCCACCCAGTCGGCGACTGGAAACGACCGAGGTGTCCAGGGCAAGTTGTGACGAAGCGATCTCTAAACATCTCGTCTTTGGTCACACACATACTAAAAAATATAGAAGCCAGCACAAACACAAAAGTACCCCATAACATCAAAATCACAAGGGCGCCTGCAAAAAACCAAGCAAAACGATGATGAGTTGAGCTTTATTGGCAAACAAAGCAGTCATGCAAGAAAACCAACCGCAAATGAAAAACAAGGTTGGGTCTGTTTGTGTGTGTGTCCACCTCTGTCTCCAAGATTTTAACTTGATGTTTTTCCTTCTACTCGTTATTTTGCAGCAGGGGGCGGTGATCCTCTCAGCAGTCACTGCCTAACAAAGATGCTGCTGATGGGATGTGATATTCAGAGAGGACGCCCTCTGAACGCACCTGCAGTTTTGTCGCGTTGACAAGCTGTGACACCAATCTTCTTGTAAAGGGATAGTGCAGCGCTGTTGAAACACCTGCGGTTTGACTGACCCAGCATTCGTGCCGTTCATTCAAGTCAAGTGCTGAATCACTCTCTGAACTTAATGCTCATTCATTTGAGCTATGAACCTAAGTTTGACCAGCTGCATCTTCCCACTTGGGTATGCAGTGTGATCCCCGATTGGGACGCCGAACTCATCACTGGAAATTTATGATCGCTTCATATCGCTTCCTGCGCCCCGTGAGCCATTTCTTGCGCTTTCCCGGGAACAGCTGAACAGATACTGCCGAGTACATGGTGATTTTCCACGGAATTTTCTTGCATTTCACCATGTGATTTGTCCTGTGAAGTTTTCCAATTGCGGTCCTATTTCAATGCTCACCAATTCAACTTGCACGAAAGTGTTTCTCTCCTTCCTGATTCATGTTCCTCTTCTTTTTTGTTTTTTTTTCTCTCTCTCTCTCTTCCTATAGGCTTGTTAGGTGTAACCCAGGCTGCGCGAGAATCGGCTTCAGTCAACCAGCACCTGCTGGTTCCTAATTTGCCGTTCATTAGGCACCCTTGCTGGGAAGATATCCAACAGATTGCCTGCATCTACTTACACCTACTTTCCCTCTTGCCCTCTTCCTTTTGCTCTTTCTCCCTTTCTCTGTCTTTCTTAGGCTTGTTAGGTGGCTGCTCAGGTTATTTAACTCAGGCAGCCCCAGAATCGGTTTCACTTCACCGGTTCCTACTAGATCTTAATTTGCCGTTCATTCGGCACCCTTGCTCACAAGCTATCCGACAAACTGCGTGCTTCTACTTACACCTACTCTCTCTCTCTCTCTCTCTCTCTTGCCCTCTTCCTCTTGCTCTTTCTCCTTTTCCGTTTCTTTCTGGGGCTTGTTAGGTGGCTACGTAGGTGTTTAGCACGCTTTTAGCACGTTTTTTGCAGAAAAGCTACGCAACGAGGGCGCGCCACTTTGCGGCTGTTTGTGTGTGTGTCCACCTCTGTCTCCAAGAGTTTAAATTGAATTATGTTCCTTTTATATACTCGTTATTTTGCAGCAGGGGGCAGTGATCCTTTCAGCAGTCACTGCCTAACAAAGATGCTGCTGATGGGATGTGATATTCAAAGAGCACGTTCTCTGAACGCACCTGCAGTTTTGTGGCGTTGACAAGCTGTGACACCAATCTTCTCGTAAAGGGCTAGTGCAGCGGCAGCTGTTGAAACACCTTCGGTTTGACTGACCCAGCATTTGTGCCGTTCATTCAAGTCAAGTGCTGAATCACTGTCTGAAGTTAATGCTCATTCATTTGAGCTATGAATGGCTGCATGCGTGGGCGGAGCAGAATAGGGCAGGAAAGGAGAAAATAGAAAGCACACCGTCAGCACATGAAAACATGCTCGGCTTAATTTTATTTTGAACTCTGGCTCCTGTCTATATCACCTCCTGAATTATGTTCACAGAAAATCCTCGGCTATACAAACTTGGCAATCACACACATTCAAAAACAAATTCCCGTCCAGTCAGGAAGCAAGGACCATTCGCAGTCAAACAGAATTATGTTTGGCAACTGGTGCCCAACAGAACAGTCGTCAACCAATATTGAAGACGGGAAGATAACTACTAATCAAATATACATCGATCGAATTATATACAAACATGGAACAAGAACCGCTTTGGTAGTGTCTTCGGATGCTACTTGCACTCAACTTAGACCTAAAAGGCAAAGTCCCCAGGCATTCTGACGTTGCAGCACTGTTTCACCTTCCTTGAAGACCCCGTGCACAGGACCCGCCACATCTTCCATGGATGTCACGACAACTTACAAGGTCCAACCACATGAACATCCAAAGGTGGACTTTGGTGAACATCCATTAATGGTTTTCATCCAAAGGTCTTTCCAACCACCTGAAAAAGAGAACTTTATCCAAAGGTGTCCATCTCATTGGGGTCCATTGAGGTCTTTTCATGAGTCGGAGACAATTCTTGAGAGTTCGTCACCTCCAGCCTTCTTGGACCTCTCCCCGGTGTGGGGCAACATGAATTAATGTCGGGAGTTCGGCTGGGGTTCACCACAGGCTTTGGTGAAGCAAGCAAACAGCCACAGACTGGAGCGTCTTTGTGAAGACTTGCACCCTGAAGTCTTGACCACAGTGGAGCCCACATGAGTGCCGTGTTGGAGGGTCAACAGATCTGAGTGCAACCTCAACTTGTTCTGTTCGCAACCAAAAGTATCTCTGAGGGCACTCCGGGCCGAGAATGAGCGTGGCAATCAGCCGAGAACGACTCGGAGCATGCGACTACTACAAGTTGACTGTGTTAAAGGTGAGAACTCATGAGAACACATGTCTTCCGACTTTCTTACACAATTGGGCGTGCTTGGCCGTTGCATCTTCACATTTGCCGGTCCCAGTTGTTGAGTTTACAGCTACGTAGTAGATAGGGTATTGGTTCTCCTATCATGTTGTCCGTGTGTGGTTATGCGCTTCATCCCCATCTTTGTCACCTACATGGTTTCCCTCCGACGGTCTCCACCTCTTCGTTTCGGCGCTTCGGATGGTTTCAACGCTGCAGGCGGGGTGCCATGGGACCTTGGAAATCGATATAAATGGGGCCAGGGGCACCAGCAGGCCAAGGCCGGGTAGATGCAATATGAATGGGGCCGCCACAACCTGGTGGACCTTGCTTGTTCACAAATGATCACCAGGAGGACCGTGCCGGGCCCGGCAAAACGTCCTCTCCCCAAAACTGGCTTCCTGGAAAGACCAAAAGCAAACACACACAAGTCCTTGAGGATCTTCAGATCTGCAATCCTAAAAATGAAGGCTGAAGTCATGTACTG